CAACTTCAGCGCGAAATTATAGCTAATTTGCCTACAAACGTCAGGTGGTCATAATAATCTGGACATTCAGTATGTGTGTGTGTGTGTGTGTGTGACACACACACACACACACACACGTTAGAGGCTGCACCCTCTCGCAGCCCGGGACTCCTTGGGGGATGTCTGACTGCCAGCTTAGGCCCGCTCCCCTCTGGTAGTTGGGCATCCCCCAAGGGGTCCTTAGTGTTGCCTCAGAGTCAGGAGAGGCTCCCACCACTGCCACTGCGCTCACTCACAGGCCTTGAGCCTGGCTTCTGGCTGAGCAGAGCTCCCCCTGTGGGAGTGCACTGACCACCAGGGGGCAGCTCCTGCATTGAGTGTCTGCCCCTGATGGTTAGTGCGCATTTGGTCAATTTGCATATTAGGGTTTTATTATATAGGATATGTATTTTAATATATTTTTTATTGATTTCAGAGAGGAAGGGAGAGGGAGAGGGAGAGAGAGATTGAAACATCACTCATGAGAGAGAATCAGTGATCAGCTGCCTCCTGAACACCCCCCACTGGGGCAGTGCCCGCACCCCAGGTACATGCCCTTGACCAGAATTGAACCTGGGACCCTTCAGTCTGCAAGCCGATGCTCTATCCACGGAGCCAAACCAGTTTCGGCGTCGATGTTTCTTTATCTCTCTCTCCCTCTCCCTCTCCCTTTCTCTCTCTCTCTAAAATTAGTAAAAGCAGCTCCTCAGCTCAGGATTAAAATAATAATAAAATACAAGAGCAGGCACTGGCCGGGTAGCTTATTTGGTCGTCTGGATACACCAGGGTTACAGGTTCCATCCTGGTCAGGGCACATGCAAGAATCAACCCATGAATGCATACATAAGTGGAGCAACAAATTGCTGTTTTTTTTCTCTCTCTCCCTTCTTATTGCTCTAAAATCAATAAAAAAAATTTAAATCACAAGAAAAGCTAAGAGATTATTTTGTTTCCTTACGGCATTTTCATGTCTAATTTTCTAGAATGTAACCATTTAAAAAGTGAATTCTAAGCAAGTGGCCGTACAGCTCTGTGAGCTTGGGCTTCTGAGCAGCTGATGAGGCTGCACAGCTCAGGGAGTGGGTGCTGGGAGCCCAGGGCCCCTCGGAATCGTCAGTCTGTGTAGAGACCCTGCCAGGAGTCCCGTGGTTAGTGCTCCCTGCGCACCCCCTCCACCCCGCAGCCTGTCTCCCAGGTCACTCAGAGCTGGTCCCTTCGTGTCCGGGTTCTCACTGACCATCCACTCCCAAGGGGTGTGTGACTTGTCTAGCTGGTCACACTCACTGGACACTGCAGAGCCTGGGGCACACTCCTGGAGCTCACAGCAGGGCGGGGCGCAGGTCAGAAGCTCCTGGACCCCTGACTAGTGGGAGCTAGTGGAGGGACAGCGAAGCCACTGTGTCAGGTGACGTCTGTGTAAAGAGAAGGTGAGGGGCCTGGGGCCCGATCTGAGAGCCTCCCAGGGGGATGGCACAGCTCAAGGCCTGGCTGGTGGGATGGGGTCCAGGAGTGGGAGGCCCTGCAGCCACCCCAGGCGAGAGGAGGCCACGGCAGGGTCTGAAGCACCGCCTGCAGCTGTGGGGACAGAGGCTGGTGGTGGAGTCAGGGAGACCCAAGCAGTTTGGGCAAGTGGCTCTGAGGGCTGGGGTGAGGCAGGGAGGTGAGGAGAGGCCTTAGGGGCCTGGTGTGGAGGGCGGAGAGGAGCACGCTGCAGCCCAGCAGCCCGCCAGCCTCACCGAGTGCTCTGTGCCCGCAGCTGGTGTACCCCAGTGACTTCCGGCTCACGGACAAGGAGGTGGGTCCCGCCCGCTGGGGAGCAGACGGCGCCCAGGAGTGAGCCAGCCCTCACCGGGTTTCATGTGTTTCAGAAGAGCAGCATCTGCTTCCTGTCCTTTCCTGACTCCCACTCAGGTAGGCGACTCCGACAGCCCACCGGCTCTGGGCTGGGGTGAGAGGAAGAGGGTGGGAGGGGAGGTCATCCGGGAGCCCCTGGGGCCCAGGCCGGGCCCAGCACAGCCCAGGAGCACTCTGAGGAGACACCCCGAGCCCACCATGCAGCAGAGGCAACAGGTTCCCCTTATTTGTGCGGGAAGAGGGACCAGTGGGGTCTGGTCTCCACGCCACCAGGAGCTGGCTCTGCTGCTCCCCCGCTCCCGGTGCTGGGCTCAGCCTGGGCTCAGCCTGCCCGCCACGCTGCCTCTCCGGACGGCCTCTCCCGACGGCCTCTCCAGACGGCCTGCCGCCTGGGCTCCGACCGCGGCTGCTGCCCGTGCGTCTGGTCGGCCTTTACCCTGAAGCTCGGGGGCAGGAGTGAGGACAGGGGCTTCCTCTCTGGGGCCTTCGGCGGTCACACTCACAGGGCCCCCCGTCCCTGCTGTCCCCACCCACGCGTGGTGGCGGTGTGTCTCCAGCCCTGACATGGAGGGGGGCTGCCCCTTCCCAGGCTGCCTCGGGGACACGCAGTTCAGCTTCCGCATCCGTCAGTGTGGAGGGCGGAGGAGCCCTCGGCCCACCGACGACGACAGGCACTACGACAGCACGGCCCCCGTGTCACTGCAGGTGAGCGGGCCGCCTCTCCGGCCTCCGCTGCCCACAGGCCAGGCTCAGGCTGGCCCGGGAGCCCCTCCCAGTGCCGGGGCCTGTGGGGCAGGAGGGCGCTGGCCAGCCCGGCCTCCACGGGGCTCTCCCTGTGCACATGCGAGCGGCCGGGGGTGGCTGGTGAGCAGCGGCCTGGCTGCTCCCCGAGTCTGGAGGTGCTGCCCCCCTTCCGAGTGGAGGATGCGCGGGCCCGCCCCCAGGACCAGGGGCAGCGTGGAGCAGCCCGGCAGAGTGGTCTGGGGCTGGGTGGGCAGGAGCCGCGTGGGGAGTGGCACCACCTGGTGACTGCTCCTTCCAGAGGGAGTCCGCACACTACTTCGGCTACGTGTACTTCCGGCAGGTGAAGGACAGCTCCGTGAAGAGGGGCTACTTCCAGAAGGTGAGCCAGTGGCCCCCTGAGGGGCACCACTGAGACAGGCGCTGAGGGCAGGGGCACCGGGGCAGCAGGCAGGGGATGAGGGTGCTCCCCACCGCACCCTTGCTGCAGCCCCTCCCTCACCCAGCACAGCACCTGGGCCCCAGACCCCCTGCTTCTCACTCTTAGGATAGGACTGGAACTTCAGCCTTGAGCTCAGACCCCAGAGAAACCTTGGCCACATGCATTTCCTCTGAAGGCCCAGGGTCCAGCCCACCCATGTGTCGTCGGGGTTTCCCTTCCTGTCTGGGGAAGGCTGTGGTTTCCCAGCTAATAGCCCTGGGGTCCGAGTTGGGCCCCCGCGGGACAACTGTCCTGTGAGCTGGTGGAGCGCACGGCCCTGGGTGACTCGGGATGAGCCAGGCCCAGGGCCCTGCAGACGCCTGCGTGGCTGGGTGACCTCTCCGGCCCGGCCGGGTGACCTCTCCGGCCGTGGGCCCGCAGTCTCTGGTGCTGGTGTCCCGCCTGCCCTTCACCCGGCTGTTCCAGGCGCTGCTGAGCCTCATCGCCCCCGAGTACTTTGACAAGCTGGCGCCCTGCCTGGAAGCAGGTGAGTGGCCATTGGGACAGCCAGAGGGTCTTATCGGCCAGCTGTGGGACTCCGTGGCCTTGGCAGGCCGCTTCCACAGGACAGGCTCCTGACCCGGACCCCCTGGACTACAGTGTGCAGCGAGATTGACCAGTGGCCGGCCCCGGTGCCTGGGCAGACCCTGAACCTGCCAGTCATGGGCGTCGTCCTGCAGGTGAGGGTGGCCGGCCGGGCGGAAAGGTGCCCAGGGCATGGGGGCGCCACTCCTGGCTGGCAGCTGCTGCCTCTACCTCCAGGTACACGTCCCATCCAGGGTGGACAAGCCTGAATCCAGTCCTCTGAAGCAGTGTGGCCCAGAGGTGGGGCCCCTCCTGGGCTAGTGGCACTGCACCTGCATCCACCCACTACCTGCCTGGACCTCCCCATCCCGCTGCCGGGAGCCCTGTGGGATGGCCAGACACCAGGCAAAGCCAGGGGCTTGTGTCTGGGTGCGGGGCTGGGTGCGCCCCCCTGTGCTGTGGGGGGTATGGGTGGGAGGTGTGTGGGCAGGGGCTACAATCCCCAGGGCTCTCCGGGGTGAGGGGTGCTGTTTGGGGCTTAATGGTGGTCGCTCGGCCTCCACCTGATGCCACCCACCCTCCCGCCAGAACCTGCTGCCGGCCCCGCTGGTGCTCACCAGTGTCCACGAGCTGGACCTGTGCAGGTGAGCCCTTAGGCCGCTGCCCGCTGCTCACAGACGTGAGGGACCCACAGCCCGGCGGGGGCAGGCGGGGCCACGGGGCCGCTGCCCCAGGAATGGACCCTCGGCCGGCCTGTGAGGGGAGCTGTACAGAGGAGGACTCAGTGCTGGGTCTGCTCCAAGGCCACGTGGGCAGGG